GGGGGAAGAGTGGTGTCAACACCACGTGAGCGTCTCTGAAACAGCCGTCAATTCACGCACAGACTCACAGTTTATTCCCTCGGCCAAAGTCAGAATCCCCAACCAAGAAATGCATACCAACCAGGGTCGAAGAACCGCAAACTTCAGTAGTCCGCTGGAAGCGGAGAAGTGCCCCGCGAGGTGGTCCCAGAACTCAGAATTTGCCGCTTTGCAAGGCTCATAAACGTCTTTCAATATTAATCTTACTTTGGTGGATTGAAACTCCTCGATCGGTTGCGTGAACAACTCATCTTGTTCTGCTTTGGGACTCAATCGCAAGCGCAGTCATCAGCCACACAGCGGCTAGTATTATAGGTAGAAGAAAACTACCGACAAAGACGACGGAGACTGGCGTATCTATTTCTGGTTTCTTAGTCGTCATCAGCCAACCAACCAGCTATACACAACCTCAACTGTTTACTTTATTGAATGTCCCAAAAAGCTTTGGATGCATGAATTCATTGGATTTTTCTCCAACAACGTAATTAAAGTCATTCGAGAACAGTCAGACCGTGGTTATATTCTGAATGCAAAAAATGTCCTTCCTCCGGTTTTAATGGCATATCTTTCACGCAGGATAGAAGAGGGGGGAAGTTGTCCACGGACGCCTGTAAACACAGGGGTCACATGTATTTATTCGAATAGATAGAATTTGCTAACCGTCCTGCCAAGCTGTAAAACTTAACATAAGGCATGATCTTGGGCAAAATAAATATTCTACGAAAGTTCGTGCATATTTCGGGGCGTACGTTGCCTAAATCTGGAGAGTGTTGTGTGTCCGCCCCTGTGTCCGCAAAAGCACTTCATACCGAACAAACACCGCTGCAACAAGTCGATGCTGGACTGACGCCTTTGGCAGCTGGATTTGTCGTTGATTTATTAGCATGCATTGATGCGCACACAAAAAGTTGCCACAGTGGGACAGCCTAGACATGTCAGTCTTTTCGTGCTTTTGCCAAATTCACGACAAGCCAAGAAGGCGGATAAGTACTTGCCTCCCCGTCCGAGAATGAATTTCGCGTTTTAATTTGCAAGAAAATAAAATACACCAGCATTGCATATCGATGCAAGATGCACATGGGCATCGCTAGAGGACCCACTGATGAGCCGAAACATTTACGGCTGCGTCATTGCAGTGGCACGGTGGCTGAGTAAACCACGTACATCTGAACTTCTAGCTAGTACCTGGCTTGTCATTATGGTAAATTATCTGGCATTTAGACACGGCCGACTGCCTGTTGGCAGCTTTTGAAGATTACCTATTTAATTCGCAGTTGCTAGTAGGTTTCAACTCAATTGAACACCTTACCAGCTTGCGGACCGCGCCCACCAAGCTTTATGATTACGAATGATTAACTTCAATTTTTGTGCATTAATCCAGCGTCGGTAATAAGGTCGGGGAATGACCTCATCAGAACGATAACCACATGGTTTATTGGATCGATAATTGCACAGACAGCTGCTAGTTGCAGCCGCGTGAACGTGGACAGGTTTTCATTACGGTAGTGGTAACGATCTCATTTGTACAATAGGTGGCGTGTATCATTAATCAATCTACAGAAATGACGAAATTTGATGTCGGTTAGAAAAAAAATAGGCAGTTGAGGTCGAAATATAGAATATTAGGATATTTAGGTTGCAATCGGATCCAGGCAGCTGCACTACCTGATTATTCATAACAGACGTAGTATTGTCATGCAGAATTTTCGGTACGCTTTTGAACTCAAGCCTGATCTACAGGAAACACGCGTAACGTATCATTCAACGTGCACTTTGTTGAGGAAATAACGTATCTCATCCTCCTATCTACAACATGGCATTTCCTAGTTTTTAAAAAAATTTTAAAGTTCCATTCAGGTTTTAATCTAACTTACCATGTCAAATGTATTTTTACTATCCAAACAACAGGTTTTGCAGGTTCCATTTCGGGAAAATACCATACATAGGTCATAAGACAGTGCAATACTTATGAGCCACGTCGTATAGGTCAAAAGGTGCATTACATATACAATGCAATTGAATAGAAATTGCATAGTCTTAATAGGTCTTATAAGTACTACTTATCTTGAAGCAAAATAATGCCGTTTCTTGGAATATACAATTTTGGAGAAGGTATAATTTTCCAGGAAATGAATGCAAGGAAGAAGAAGCTTGTTTTTGCCTTTCACGTATTTTGTTAGGGTATAGACGGCCACGAAAATGCTTATTTAGTGAGTGGGCCAGCTTAGAAAGTGAAGTTTTTTTCAGACAACTAAAAAGGCATGCACTCAAATGCTAGCAGCAGGTAAGAATGAAATATTCAAGGTTTTCGCAGCATGATATTCACTATTACAAAAACACCCAAGTAATGTTTCCCTAACGAAATCCATTGTTATAATTGTAAAGTTTTTCTGAAATACATTGCCTGTATAAAAGTTATGAGCATTACCGACAAAGATGACGGCGACTAGGATAACCATTTCTGGCCTTTTAGCCGTCATCAGTCAGTTATACCCAAACCCGAACCCAATACCCGAAACCTATGATCTTTTGGTTAGAAGCTCAACCACTCAAACCACTGAACCACGGGCTTCTTAGCCTAACCCAGGAATGGGCACACATCTTCAGTATCACGGGTACTATGAAAAGGCAAACAAGCTGATCACAAGACTAGTCCTGAAAAACCCCAGCTACCTTGTTAACGTCAACCGCAAGAAACCTATAATGGTTTCGCTAAAAAACACACTGCAATTGAAATAACACTCCTCCCACGTCAAAGCACCACCCGTCTGCTTGATACCATCGCCCCAATTGAAGGCAGCTTGTATTTTGCGCCCTAGGTATGTGTGTGGTGAGGCCTACTAATCAGCTGATTGCAGACGGAAACTGTGGACCTCGTGCGCTCTCCTGAAAGCTGCTTTGACAGTGATCGACGAGCAGCCTGCTAGCCTCTCCCCCAGGGAGTGACTAGGCAGTTGTTACAAACTTTCACCTAATAGGCAACTTGACAGGACCCCGGGGAGACGGTCGTTGCGGCGTTGGGAGCGGGGGGAGGGGAGCACAGTCACGCGGGCAAAGTGGGGGAAATGGCTGCTAAATGCAGCCGGAAAAAAACGAACGGATAACAAACGGATGGACACGTGCGCCCAGAAGGAATGCAGAAATGCCTATCATTAGGAAACGATTACCGGATATTTTGTAGGCGCCAAACGAAAGTTGCTTGGTTCAGGGAGCCTGTCGTTACAGCTGCTAATTAACACGAAAGAACGATTTGATTTGACTAGGAAAAGCACCGTCATTATGGTCACCCGAATGTACAGTACGCGCCAGAATTCGTGTAAAATGCCGAAATATGCGAAAGATTGATGCTTTTTGCTAATCGGCATTGAGTCAGTTTGAGACACTGATTAAAGTGTAGTCTATTCTGAAGTTGTTTCAGCCATGATAGGATGTCAGTTTTTTAACGAGCTGCGTTCTGACCACTAAAAAAACATATGTTTTGTAAAAAGTAACTACTTAAATAGTATGCGTTTTATCATTGACTTTGACTGCCTTTATAAATTCAAATATTTTTTATAGAAAAAGTAAACAAAATACTATTTCTTGTACTCGTTTGGTAACAAATTATGACTTCCTTAAATTTTCTACTTAAAGAAAAGGTATCCTTCGGTTTTGGAGAAATTTCTAATTATGAGCTTTTTTTACGATTGCGAGATGGTCATTCATAATACATCGTATCCGTCAATTTATTAATGCTGGCTATACTGTATAAAGCATGCTCCCCATCTATTGCAAAATTTTATGAAAGATATGGTCGTTCTTCCGCAAACTGTAGACGAAAACGTACTTTACCTTAAACAGGCTGTACCAAGTGCGCAGTTTGTAAACCTTGAATTCGAGTGCAGCAGTCAGTAGGTTTCAGAATTATTCGACAATTCACAAACTTTTTAAAAGCGAACGATATCTTTTCTTCAGGTATACAATTTAAATAAGGCGTAATTTGCCACCAAATGAGTACAAGAAATAATTTTTCGTGCAGTTCTTCCTTAGGATATATTTGAATTTACAAAAATAGCCGAAATCAATGATAAAAACGAATACTATTTAAGTAGTTACATTCTACATTACATATGTTTTGTAAGTGGTCAGAGCGAAACTCGTTAATAAGCCGACATCCTATCGTGACTTAAATAAAATAACTTCTGAATAAACTATAGGATAATCAGTATTACAAGCTGTGTCAATGCCGATTAGCGAAAGAGTATCAATCTTTCGCATATTTCGGTCTGTTGCACAAATTGTGGCGCGTACTGTATTTGTCTGAATCTTGGAAGATTTGTGTTAA